TATCTATCTATCTATCTATCTATCTATCTATCTATCTATCTATCTATCTATCTATCTATCTATCTATCTATCTATCCATTCACCCACCCATCCACCCACTCACTCACTACCTATATACCTATTATATATTCGGATATATACATAGATAGTTCTGATAATATTTAAGAGCTTTGCCAAACTTATAGACAATATTTTTCTTTACTGTATTTGTAGAACATTGTTAAGGTTATACTTGAACTATAACTTATACAGTTGCAATCCAGTTAGAATCACTACACTGCATTTGTTCACTATTACCACAATGTTTATTTAACTGAAGAATTCTCTGTAGCTTCAGGATCAGGAATGGCACTGTTTCTACCCCTCTTTTTCATTCTCCTAGGCTCCCATTCCACAATCATCAAATTTTGTAGGCAAATTGCTAGATTATATGGGTGTGCAATTCTAATAGGTGCATTAAGACTCCAATAAGTTTAATGCATCTACTTTTAATGTACTTTTAAAAGATCTTCAGCATTTTAAAGCTAGATAAATTGCACAACAATTTCATCCTGCTCTTCTGGGAATATCATTGCATTATCTCTATGCTCCTTGTAAGTTGTAAAAAAGTTGCTATCTCGTTGTTCTTGGCGTTTTATGAATTCTGTTTTCTTATGAGACTAACATTCTATGGATTTTAAGGGAAAACTTATGAATGGGTTCAAACTACATTTAAGTATTTTTTAGAAATACAGACCAATTTCTATTAACTTTACTTCAAAGCAACAATAATACATCTGGATTACTCCTTAAGTACATAGATCAGCTGGTCTCCTACTATCTGCAAAACAGATCATCCACATTTAGTACATCTCAAGAAGAACTGAAAGAGTTATTATTAGAACTGTTATCTTCTTTGTGCCTTTTCTTTTTATTCTAACAATAAAAACATAGATTATATTTATGCTGCATTACAATTTTGCACTGCATCATGGTAGCCCAATTTTGTGGAGTGGCATTTTTGTGAGAAAACAGAAAATGCTATTTTCCCCTCCTATTTGTTTATCAAATTTTTAAAACTATCTATGTTCCTCACAGCAAGACTGTAGGGGGCATGTTAGCTTGATCTCCTAGGCAACATTTTTTTTGGAAATTACTAAACACTGAACTTTTCCAAAAAGTTTTTAGGAAATGATAAATTTTGCTATTTAGATTTCCACTTATTTATTTAAAAATACTAATGTTCTCGGGTGCTTTTAAATGAACACATGGTGCTTTTTCTTTACTGTGGGCATTTTATAGTATTTTGTCATTTTGTGAACCACTGTGAGTCAGCAAAGATTCTTTTCAACAGGGCAATAAGTGCATATTTATTTTAGGACAGATTTATTTTAGAACCCAGTGTTATAACTTCATGTGTGCATATCATATTTATATAGCAAGAAAGCGTACAAGATATACCAATTAAATCTATAGCAGGCTAATATCGTGTTTCCCCCAAAATAAGACAGGGTCTTGTTTTTTTTTTGCTCACAAAATATGGCTTGGGACTTATTATGAGGGGAGGGTTTATTGTTTTTGGGTTGCTGGGTGGCTGCTCTCTTCCGAGCAGGCTCCCAAAGAGCCAGGCACAGCCTCATGGGCGAATGGCTGTGTTGCACTGTCACAGCAGCGCAGCACAACAGCCATGAAGCAACCACACTCACGAGCAGCCACCTGACAAACCCCGTTTCCATTCATTGACCTAGGGGAATCGCCAAACAGCACGATGCCTTCGAAATGCCAGTGAAAGACACTCTGCACAGCTAGACAAGTGGATTGCACAAGCAGCTGTTCCACTCCCGCTCACGTGCCTCCCAGCCTCATGATGCCCTGGCCCAGCTTTCCCCGCAGAGCCACAGTCCCTCCGCTGCTGCCGCCATCCCAGCATGGCTTTTTCTGCAGCTTCCAAACCAAGTCTTCTGGCAGTGGCTGCTCTGGGCCTATGCTCTATTGTTGTGGGCCAGCTGCCGGCAGAGCGTACAACCATAGAGCGTATGTCCAGAGCGGCCACTACTGGAAGACTCGGTTTGGAAGCTGCAGGAAAAGCCATGCTGGGATGGCGGCAGCGGTAGCGAAGGTGCTCTGACTCTGTGGGGAGAGCTGGGCCATGGCATTGTGAGGCTGGGAGGCACGCGAACGGGAGCGGAACAGCCGCTCGCGCAACCCCCCTCTCCAGAGCACTTTTCATTGGCATTTCGAAGGCACCAAGCCGTGGGAGCTGGGTGGCAGAGAACAGGCACTCACGCAGCTTGGCGATACCCATAGGTCAGTGAATGGCGCTGTGCCCGGCTGGAAAGGGGGTTTGCTGGGTGGCTGCTCGTGAGTGTGGTCGCTTGTGGTTGCTTTATGGTTGTTGTATGCGCTGCTGCGACAGTGCAACATAGCCGTTCACCCGATGCTGTGCCCGGCTCTTTGGGAGCCCACTCGCAAGGGAGCAGCCGCCCGGCAACCCCCCTCTTCAGCTGGGCACAGCGCTGCTCACCAACCTAGCGGTATCCCGAAGGCACCAAGCAACGCGATCACCTTTGCCCCCCCAGTTCCCATAGCTTGGCACCTTCGGGATACCACTAGGTTACCACTCTGCCTGGCCGGAGGTGAGGGGTTTTCCGGGAGGCTTATTTGTGGGGGAGGGCTTATATTTTTGCCCACCAGAAAAATGTGGCATGGCCTTATTATCAGGACATGCCGTATTTTCAGGGAAACATGGTAGTATTA